TATCTGTGTTGTCATGTCAGGATACATGGCACAAAGTACAGAGCTGCAGATGTTGCTGAACTGCAACTCCCAACATTCATCACCATTACCTATGCTGCCTAGGGCTGATGGGAAGTTCAGCAACATTGGGAGGGCTATGCTTTGTCCCATCTGGTCTGGGTGCTGGTTAGAATTCAAGTGAATCTATTATGCTTCTATAATGTCCAAGTATTATAGTACAAATAAGGAGTGAAATGTCATCCTATGTAATTGCAATGAATTACATAATAGCAATGCTTATATAATTCAAGTTTTACATTGGATGTATAAACTAGTGCAGGGGTAGGCAACCTTTTTCGGTCCTGGGCCGGTCCCCCGAAGTCCTCATCTCCGCCGGGCCGAGGGGGGAGAATGGTGGCGCGCACGCTCACATGTGCGCACGCATCCCCCCCGTGCACGCGACCACCCCCCCAAAGCACGCTGCTGCCACCACCACGGCACGCACGGCCACAGCTGCCGACGTGCATGTCGCAGCTGCCATTTTGAATTCCAAAATGGCGGTCACGGTGCGTTTGCCATTTTGGAATTCAAAATGGCAGTGGCGGTGCACAGAGGCGGCAGGGGTCCGCCTGGGCTGGTAAGTCCAGCAACCTGGGCCGGAACCGGCCCGGGGGGCGTAGGTTGCCGGCCCCTGAACTAGTGTGTGTGTGTAAGACATCTAATTCCAAAGTATATGGCCTAAACAGAGTTCCTATTGGTAAGGGGGAAAGAATGGAAAGTGTATGAATTTTTCAGGTAAAGAGTGTTATCTTGGTTATAAAGTATAGCATGCCTGGTTCTGGCATGCGAAGACAACATTTTAACCAATAAGGCAGCTGGAGTTTGGGTCATGCTGAACTGATAAAGTTCTGTGTCACTTCGTACTGTAACTGAGTGCCCACAAGATTTAATTATGCTTTATTTGGTTATTGGGTTTTTTCTGGTAGAATATGATTACAGAGGAAGCAACTATGTTAGAGAAGAGGCTAAATTAGAACTTTTGCCTGTCATATAGTTTGCATGCTATCGATGATCTTTTGTATTGTATTCAGTCATATGAGCTCCCATCTGCAATCTCTATAGTATTGACAAGGTACAAGGTTATCTTAGTGGGACTTAGGCCTTTCTTACAGTTGCTTACTGCAATAACTGTAAGAGTATGTCACAAGTCTTGAAAACTTTCCAAAATATTTAGTGGTAAATGCTGTATGACAGAGTGCATATCTCTTCCTGGGTTGATACAGTATCTAAATGGCAAAGTAGTTCTGTCTCTTCCTGGACTGTGCAAAATGGCCCCAGTGCATTTCATCCCTAAATCAGCACTATACATGTTTGATGTAGTGAGGTTTTGGGGTCTTCCCAATTGAACTGGGACTTTTCATATTATCTCATGTGATACTAGGTTAATGTAATAACCCAGGCAGGCAGAATAAAATCCAATTTTGGAACTTTTTTTACCTTGTTTTGGTGGCGTAACGATGGACAAGTGCCTTGCCTGTGGAAACAATATTCTCACTTTGTCAATGTGCTGACTGGGACACTAATAAACAAATGAACTGGTATTACAGTATCTCGGTCTATGAGAGTGTGTGCATGTATGTGCCTTTAAGTTGCCTGTCAACTTATGGCAAGCCCATCCATTTCATTGGGTTTTCTTAGTCAAGGAATACTCAGAGATCATTTTGCCAATTCTTTCCTCTGAAGCTTAGTCTACAGCACCAGGTCTTCCATTTAAGTACTAACCAGTCTGACTGCTCAATTTCCAAGATCAGATGGGATCTGGTGTCTTTAGGTTATTTGTGCCCCCCTTATGAGGTTAGACAATGAGAAAATATCATTTTAAAAAGTTCATACTTCCATGAAATGACAGTACAGTTGCCACCACCACCACCCCCATTTCTGCGGAGTTGGAGTCCGCTTCCCTTGCCCATTCACGGGCAGCAAATGGAGGGGAACAAAATGGGGTGTGCACTGCCATTCTAGACAATGGGGCTTGAATATTGGTGAATTTTCATTTTCTCGGGGGGGGGGAGGTCCAGAAGGATCCTCCACAAAAAAAGAGGGGCAACTGTATAAGACACTTGCTCTGGATGGAGCAAGGAAAATTCTTTTTATTAACATTGTTAATGTTTTATCTTTGGCCAGTGATATTGAGAGGTGTAGCATAATTTCTTTCTTGGAAAATACCTATGAATGGTTTTATAGAACATTTAGTTTTTGATACTGCTGCGTACATATACAATCCAACCCCATATCCATGGGATCTGTAACCGTGGTTTCACTTAACTGTATGGGGGGGGGGGAGGTATCTCTAGGCACCTGAAGGTCCTCCAGTGCCATTCTGTGATCATCTCCTAGTAGAAATATAACGTTTTCCATTATCCATGGTTCTCGCTATCTCTGGTAAGTCTGAGAATGTATCCCCCTCAGAAACAGATGTTGGATTGTATGATGTTGCCTTACTTATGAAACCCTAGCAGCTTCAGTTCCTTGGGTTCCTTGGTTCTCTTGGATTACTGTTGCTTCCTATAGACTAGTCTTATTTGGAAAAACTTATATTTATACAACATGTCAGTTATGATGCCAGACATTTTCCACCTGAGTATTTGCCCTGGAAAGCTCCTTGGTTTCTAGAGTGTAAGGACAAAAGAAGAACCGTGCTGCTGAAATTTCATCTAATCCAGCATACTAGTTCAACAACAGTGGGCAGCTAGATTCCTAGGAGAAGCCCTTAAGCAAGACATGAGCACAAATAGCTCTCTGTGCATGTACCCCAGAAACTGGTTTTCAGAGACATGCATCCTCTGATACTGGAGGCACTGTATAATCATAATGACTAGCAGTCACTAACAGACCCCTCCACTAAGCACTTTTGCATAAACTCATGTATCCTAGCAGAATGTACTGTACTTCCAAGTGTATATTGTTGGCCTGTCTGCCACACCCTTGGTCCTGCCTCCATAAACTGAATGTAATATTCTATTCAAATGGAGTCTAAATAGCTATACAGTGGCCCCTCCATTTTCGCGGACTTGAAGTCTGTGGTCTTGATCATTCACAGAAGGGAAAGCTCCATTAAATTAAATGGCACATGCAGGAGTGCGCAGCTGTTCAAACCAATGAGGCTTGATTATTTGCAAGTTTCCGTTTTTGCAGGAGGGGGCGTGTCCAAAATAGATCCTCCACTAAAATGAAGGGGATACTGTATTTCTTCTTCTGTGTGACCATGAAAAAGCTAACTAGGTTAAATGAAGTTATTTTTTAAAAAATCATAATTAGCTCTCCATTTTAGTGTGGCAGCCTCCAAAATGTAAACTTAGGGGGGAAGCAGACGAGTGCTTCCAGGACGCCGCGGGACGGTGCGCTGCGGGACCGCGGCATCCGCACTGTGGCACACCATCGGTGCCTCTGAAAGGAGCGCAAAATCAACGCTCCTTTCAGAAGTCAGTGAAAGTGCACCCTAAAAGCATAGGGCGCACTTTCACTGACTTATCCACCGCAGCGTGTGCGGACGCTGCGGCGGGAAGTTGCCCTCGGAGCGCCGGCTGTGCAGAGGGGCGGCTGCTCCGAGGGCAACTTCGGGAGGAGGAAGGGGCGCCGATCGTGCGGCTGCCCCTCCTCTTCCTTGCCTCGAGGACGGCCCAATTAGCAGTCTGCCGAGGCCCTCTATAGATGTAGAGCTTCTGGGATTTTTTAAGTTCATTATAACAGCAAAAGCAGCAATACAAATACAAACACAATGGTTAAAAAAAAAGGAAGGATAGAGAACTTTATTGTTACAGATAGTACTGAGCAAAATTTCATTTCATTTGAGGCAAGTAATGTTGATATTCAAGATGAAGACTAACCATTCCTGAAGTTGGTCAGTCCTTAGCAAATGTGTCTGCAGAATGTAGACACAATCTGCATTCTGAATCTAGAGCTTCTAATAGATTTCACTCCATTATTTTCTTAAAGCCCCCAAAATGTCTTCATACAAAGGAATGGCCTTTTTTGCACATGGCACTTAGGAATGTCTCCATTCTTGTAAATTGAAAAGAAAGTCTGTTTCAGATTGCTCAACTATGTTCCTGCACCCTGGTCTGGCAACAAATAAAGACTTCTTTCAGCTCTGCTTCTTGTCTTGTTTGAATGCCACTGTAATCAGGAAGTAAAGACTGTCTCTTTTCTGTACACATACAGATCTAAGAGCAGTGTGAATAGTGCATTGGTTTTTCTTTTTACATGAATCTTTCAGGAGGTAGGGCTGGACATTTTATAATGAAATTGGATTGAGAGATCTTGTGTGAAGCATAAAGCTGAGACTTCTCTGCAGTATTCTGATGGCCAGCACTGAATTAAAAGCTCAGGAACAGTTTGATCATAATTGCACCAGTGTGTACCATACCCTAGTTTTAGTGAGGTTTACTTCATGCATTGTCCCCATGTGAATACTCATTATCACTGGGAGTGGGAAGCAGTGGGGATTTCTGGAGAGACAAGTGTTGTTCTTATTGTGACAGCAGCAAGATTCTGTATAACACTTTTAAAAATTGTTTAATTACAAGCTAACAAAGCTATTATGTGGTGAGCTTTTGTGGACTATAGTCTCTCTTCATCAGTTGGATGAAGTGTGGTTCTCAATTGTCACATGTCAAAAGATTTGCCCAAACAACTTTTCTTTTCAATAAATTCACTTCCTGTGCTGGGAAGGCAAGTAATGTACCAAGCTTTGCTGCATTGTCCACCAAGAAACTGCAGATATACACAGGACTGGTTTCTGCCAATCCTCTGTCTGCCCTTGCTGTTGGAAAAAAATCGATAAATACACACATGCCTACAATTTTCAGAGAAATTAAGGACTATTCACATGTGCTGCCTTAACTTGCTGGACCTGAAAATTGAAGAGGAATAATAGAATTACAGAGTTGGATAGGGCTACAAGGACCATTTAACCCATTGTTGTCTCTTTTCAAATAGATTCTGACTTATGGCAACCCTAGGGTTGCATGGCGTAGTGGTTTATGTTGGACTATGATTCTTGAGACCAGGGTTTGATTCCCAGCTTGGCCATGAAACCCACTGGGTGACCTTGGTCAAGTTACACTCTCTTAGCCTAAGGAGAAGGCAATGGCAAACTTCTTCTGAGCAAATCTTGCTAAGAAAACACCATGATAAGTTTGTGTTTGGGAAATGACTTGAAGGCACACAACTCACACACACACAGGGCACACCTATCACTGGGTTTTCAGAGGCTGAGAGCATGTGTCTCCCAAGCTCACCCATGAGGTTTCCAGACATGCAGGTAACCACAGCTAAAGCACTCTTAATAGATGGCCATCCAAATTTCTGTTTAAAGACTTCCAAAGAAGGAGATTCCACAGTTTCCAAGGCAGTCTATTCCACTGTTGAACAGCTCTTACCATCAGGAAACTCTTCCTGATATCTAGGTAAAATCATGTTTCTTGCAGTTTGAATCTCTTGATTCACGTCCTTGTTTCTGAGGCAGAAAACAAGCTCACCCCATTTTCTATATGACATCTCTTCAGATAATTAAATATGGTTTTCATATCACTTCTCAAACTTCCCTTCTGCAAGCTAAACATGCCCAGCTCCCTAAGCCATTCCTCATGGGATTGGTTTCCAGACCTTTTGCCATCTTGATCACCTTCTCTGGACATTTTCCAGCTTGTCAATATTCTCATTGAACTATGCTGCCCAGAATTGGGCATGATACTCTTGATGAAATCTGACCAAAACACAAAATAACGGTGCTATTATTTCCCTTGTTCTGGACACTATAGTCCTTTTGTCCATTGTACACACTACTAAGACTTAGGACCTTATCACAGGGGGAAATCTCATGCAGAAACAGGATTTAAAAAGTGGGAGAAACCTGCAAAGGCGGGTAGATATTCCATACACATTGCTTTTAAACTGTGCTTAACCTGAATGGAAAGTAGTCAAAAGCCGCTTCTTTTTACTTTTGGGATTTTCCAAAAGTAAGAAGAAGTAGCTTTTGACTACTTTCTGTTTGGGTTAAGCACAGTTTAAAAGTGACTTCATCTGAAAATCTACCCGCTTTTGCGGGGGTTTTCCTGTTTAAAATCCCACTTCTGCATGGAATTTCCCCCATGTGATAAAGTCCTAAGAGCCTTCATTTACTGCTGCCAAGTGACATCCATCCTGTGTCTGTGCATTTTGTTTTTCCTGTCAAACTGTAGTACCTTACCTTTATCCTTGTCAAAATTCAGTTTATTAGTTTTGGCCAATTCTCCCAACTGTAAGTGATCCAAGGCAGACCACTGCAACCTGTAGCATAAAAGGATATTAGACTTTAAGGTAATACATATAGTAGCCCCTCCCAATTCATGGGGGATCCATTCTGGACATTCCCCCCCAAAAATGGCAGCTCGCAAATATTCGAGCCCCATTGAAAATAATGACACACACAAACATGCACCGCCATTTTACCCCTTCCTGCTTGTCCCTCCCGCAAAGAGTGAGACCGTGAACTCAAACTCCATGAACAGGGAGAGACAATTGTACTACATGGTGTGTGTTGTTTGAGCCTATTTTTCTCTCACCAAAGGATCTTCTAGTTTAAGTGGAGGATTTTTCCCTTTGTTGGCTGAAAGAATGGGGTGTGTGACAGCATCAGACATGTGCTTCCTTTCACCTCTGTCATTAGATTTTCAGAGTTTCCTCCCTTTTCCACTAATCTTAGTTTGTGTTCTTCAAAGAGGAAGGAAGTAAATAATGAGGAATGCTTCCAGGCAAGCCTTCTATTATGTGCTTGTGCTGCCTCATTCACTGAATTTTTATGCAGGATTCAGATGATGTCACCTTCTATTTGTAACCCTCCTGTGTTTTTCCACCATGTCTTCCATCTTCTTTCTTACCACAGAAAATCCATTAACAAAGGAAAGGCAAAACAGCTACACAGTATCTATTCAACAGTAGTATGAGGAGGCATCCACCTGGAAACATCTCTGTTGCTGTATTCATAAGTGGACAGGCTTTTCACCCATTCAGAAATATTGGAGAATTGTAGCACAGTGTGGGGGAGATGATTTTAGGTTTCCCCTACCTAATACTGTGTGTTTAAAAACCAGAGCAGCAGAGTTCCTAAACACAAGCACAAATGTTCCTTAAGACTTCCAGCCATGCCTTGCTTTGCACAACACCAAGAGAAATGACCTTCTAATCATCTTGGGATGGAGACAGGAAAAAACTTTCCACATCCCGTTTTTCCTGTATTCTGTTTTCATCATTTATTTTTCCAACTTCTTTTGTTTTTGTTTTGTTTTTTAATGCTGTAACCTGCCAGGGGCCTTTGGAAAATCAGAATTAAAATGCACATAGATAAATTAGGGCAATAGGAAGTTCCTGCCACCACATTTCCTCTCCCACTTCCCAAATTCTTAAAGAGGTAAGTAGAAATGCATATCCTGGTTCTCTCAGGTAGGGATATTGCTTCACTGCTGCCAGTACAGATGCATTCTTAAGGGTGTAGCTTGTTAAGCAAATCTGTTGTAATCCCTGTTAATCTCTTTTTAATTATCAAGGGATCATGGCTATCTGGCTGTCTTTATTTATATGTTCATTTTTTCCCCCACTTTCTGTGTAAGAAAGAAGCATTTGTAGCATTTACAGGTGTAAAAACAAAACAAAAAAGTCAATTAAAACCAGTACTGGTATAACAAGAGCAATGACAACATAACAGCAATCACATTGTTTCATAAATAATTTGTGGCTTAGAGAAAATTTCTAAAAATATTTTTTACCTATCAGCAGGAACACTGAGCCAGCATGGTATACTGCTTGGCCATGGGAACCCACTATGTGACCTTGAGTAAGTCACACACTCTCAGCCCCAGAAAACCCTGTGGTGGGGTCGCAATAAGTTGGAATCCACTTGATGGCACACAACAGCACCATCAAAGGAACACTTAATATGGGTGCTAACACACTCACACACCAGTGTAGAAGTCATCATTGCCAGTCATCTGTAAATGAGAACATAAACTTGCATTTTGTCCATAGATCTGAATGGACAGGGTGATATACCTAGGTGACTGAAAGTCATTCATACATATGAATTTATACATAGAAAGGAATTCTGGTAAAAGTATAATATTCCCAGCCTTGGCTCCTTTTGACCATTTTGTGGATCTATTGGTTTTCATAGATCTAATATGGTTAGTGTAGGACTGGAGCCCAAACCAAAGAAATTGAAGCTTTTTTTACAAAAAATGATTTTGAAAAAGTACTGCACAACATGCTGAAATGTATTCATAAAAGTAGATGGGCTCTTCTCATTATAGCAATTGTGATTTCAGGACTGAACACTGTATTCTAAGCAGTCTTGGGACACAATTATGTCAACTTTATGCTTCAAGTAGTTTGTTTGTTTTTTAAAAAAGAGAGAGAGAGAGAGAGACAGGATGTGCATGAAGACAAGAACCATATGATTAAACAATTAGCCTTGCCTTTAATATGACTAAGAGCAGTTCAATGTAACTGACATTGCCTTTAAAATATTATCAGGGAATGAAAACAATACCTAAGCTATTATGGAGAGAGAGAAAAACTAAATAATTAATTCGCTAGCTAAGGTAGTTTTTTACTGTGTTTTTTTCTTCTTCCTAACTAGAAACAAGCATTAGATATATGCCAGTACATAGTTCGATTCTGTAAAACTGTGCTGAAGTCAAAGCAAGAATGGATATTCCTACACTTAAAACAGCAAAATTATACAGTACTTTAAAAGTAGATACAACTCCTTCAGTGGTATATATCATGGCTCCTGTAGGAAGCCAAGCAAACCAGAACTGAATCTCTCTTGCCAGTGGATCTTCCATAGTGTCAGCAGTCCCAGTCACATGTTTTTGGATAGCAGTCTGTTAGCTGTGCCTGTGACCCTTTGCAGAGCAAGAGAAAACAGATGTCTCCCCATGCTGCCAAGTTGTTTGGTTCCCCTCCTCGCCTTTGCGTGTTAGGAACAGTTCCACACAGAGAGAGTTTTTGTTAATTAGTTTCAGATGATGACTGGGAGTTTTACACCACATAGGGCCTCCAGTCACTACTTTTTCTGCTCCAGTAGATGATTATAGCTCCCATTTCTTAATAAATGCTGAACATAGCTTTATGCTTATTAGATACTTAATTCCTCAAATGCCTAAGGAAAGATAGCATGTGTACATAGGTAAGAGAATTCGCTTAAATCAGCCTAGTTTTGTTATGCTTGAGGACAAACAAATTGAGTTCAGCAGATTGTGAAGCTTTTAGCTTTCAGCTTTCAGTACCTTTTCTTTTCTGAAGCGAAAAGCCCATAACAGTAGCAAATGTCTTGTTATGTTGCTAAGTACCTAAAAGTGCAGCAGCAGCTGCTGCTGCTTTTCTCCTCAGCAGGACCAACAACAAGTTGCTGGGCCAAAAACATAGAAAATCTGGCTAGTTTTTGAAAGCTCTGCTTAGTTTCATTGTCTAGTTTCTGAGGAGAAACACATGCATCTCCTGTGGAGTTTATCACATGGAAGGCAAAGCGCCCAAATCCCATTGATAAACAGGGTTTAAATCCCATGAATATCCCACAAAAGCGGGATTGTTTTCAGACACGTCGGGCTAATTCAGCATTATAATAATAATAATAATAAACCTTATTTTTGTAAACCCGCCAAAGCAATCAAGGCAGTTTGCATCATTAAGATAAATAAAACAAACCCCACATTGAACAATAAAACATGATAAAAACAAGTTATCCCCCTTTAAAAAAATTAAATTAAATGCACTACTAAAATAAGTTTAAAAGGGTGGTGTTCTAGTACCAGTAAAGATGTAAAAGAGGAAGAGACACAGATTGGAGTAGAGTCTATTCTATTTGGGGAAGGCCTGCTGGAAGAGATCCATCTTGATGCTTTTTTAAAATTGTCCATGCTGGTTATTTTTTTTTAAATAAATTTTATTGTTAAAACATACACATTATGCGTACAAATACTTTCAATAATAATGTGTTACCACAGAAATAAAGAAAAGCAAACGGACAAAAAAAAACACAATAAAAGAAGAAT